TCTTCTTCTTCTTCTTCTTCTTCTTCTTCTTCTTCTTCTTCTTCTTCCTCTTCTTCCTCTTCCTCTTCCTCTTCCTCTTCCTCTTCCTCCTCTTCATCATCATCATCATCATCATCATCATCATCATCAAGCTGGGCTCCCTTCCCATTATGCTTCAGTGAAAGAAGAGCCAGGTTTTAATGTCCTTTCAGGGCAGACCCTCCCCCAATATATTGGTTTAGATGAAACAATGAACCTAAATACATATTTAAAGATTTTGGGATGCTAGCCATTCTGACCCCAGGAGAAACTTTCCTAATCCCGAAAAAACCACAAGTTCTTGAATATGTAATAGTTTAAGATAACTCCATTAAAAGTTGCATCTTTTATAACAGGATTAAAGAAGAGGGAAGGAGAAACAGAGTCTTTAAATGAAGGATGCCCCTTAGCTGAGATTCCAGAAGGAAGGTCCTAAAGACAGATCAAGTATCAATAGCATTGCTGAGTGGTAATGAATAGCACATAGTTGGGGTTGAATGCCACTCAAAGCATATACTTTTTCCTCCCCAAAATAGCCTTATGTAAGAGAGAATCTAACTTACCTGGAGTGACTAGTAAAGGAGTAGCTGTTGCAATGCTTGAAGCCCTCTTCACTGTTGAATATTATATTTGTTCAATGTCCTTTATACTGCATGCTTGAGACATGGACTATCCTATCAAGAAAGAGTCTTTTAGGTGGTAATATTATTAATAATACATAGCACCAAAAAGACAATTGATGTAAGAGGTCTTTGGTGCTCTGTGGGCTTGGTAGTTTCCTTGCAGACATTTCAATACCCAAACTAGGTAACATCATCACCGCTAGTGACTAGGATTGATGATGTAACTCAGTTTGGATAATGAAACATCTGCAAGGAAAAAAAAATCAAGTTAGAGAGCACTAAGGAGCCTAATTTCAACCCTGAGCTACCAATACTCTCCATTGTCAACACAATTGGTTTAAGTAATCGATTTTTATCTTTTTAGCTTCTTCAAGGAGGCTCTGAGCAGCTTCTGCGATCTTTATATCTACATAAAGATTCATCTGCATACAGCTATATTAGTGCTGGAGTACAACCAAAGGTGAGGAAGAATCATTTTTCCCTTTGAAACTATTGCATGGTAAACTATTCTATTTCTTATCAGTCCGTACATTTGGAGATCTTGTATTTGTTTTCTAATATGAGTTTAACCTATTTAATCAATGCTTACAAATAATTTTGATTGGCAAGCTTAAAAACTGCTTAAAAATGAATGTTGCAGTATATTTCCAATATTAATTGGTCAACTTCCAAATCAACTCTTTTATTAAGGTCCCAGATCAGGATTCAAAGGGTGAAACATATTAATTTTAAGAATATAAAATACACAAAGTCAATTACATCTTTAGCAAACTTTTCAGGGCATTCTATGGAATCTTTTACAGTATCTGATTTATTTTAGATGAAGGAACTAAAAATATATAACCTCATTCAATAATTCCAAGGCCACATTTTAACAGCAAAATTTATGGCTAATTTAATAGCAAAATGACTGAAAGGTTTTATTGTGTAATTTATTTTTATTATTACAAAAACTCTGATTCCTGTAATCTTTAAAATGGTAGGACAGGTTTTGAATCAGAATACCTCAAATGAGCTAATATATATACAACATGTCCAAATTCATGACTCTTGACTTACTTCAGTGTAATTGAAATCTGACAAATTTTAAAACATTTTATACCATAGAACAGTTTGTATCATAATGCAAAATGTCATAAAACCTTTCCTGCAGTAATGTTTGACAGTGCTACACAGTTCAACATGGGCTAAGTTCAAGACACATAAAACTCTAGCAGGGGGGCTATGTGAGGATGCTTTTTGTAGATTTTAGTTCTGCATTTAACACAATTCCTCCACATAGGCTAGTGTCTAAACTTCTGGACCTTGGACTTTCTTATTCAATCTGCCTTTGGATTATGGATTTCCTTTCTGGCCACTCACAGAGGGTTGGATTAGGTAATCATACCTCTTCAGCCCTTATTCTTAACACTGGTACATTATAGGGTTGTGTGTTGAGTCCCTTACTCTATACTCTACATGTGCATGACTGCATTCCCACTCATGCTAGTAATACTATTACTAAATTTGCAGATGATACAACAGTGGTGGGACTCATCTCCAGGGGGGATGAGTCTGCCTACCGAGATGAGGTGGACCGGTTGCTTTCATGGTGTGGAGACAATAACTTGGTCCTCAACACCAATGAGACCAAGGAACTTATAGTGGACTACAGAAGGAACAGATCACACACACAGCCCTTGCTTATCCATGGAGACCAAAGTGGAGCAAGTGGCCAGTTTTAAGTTTCTGGGTGTTATCATAAAAGAGGGCCTGACCTGAGATGCTCGCATTGCAGCACTGGACAAAAGGGCCCAGCAGAGATTATACTACCTGAGACTTCTCAGAAAACAACAACTGAATGAAAAACTGCTGGTGATCTTCTGCCGCTGCACCATAGAGAGTATCTTAACTTACTGTACCTCTGTATAGTTTGCCAATTGCGCAGTGGCAGATAGGACAGCACTCCAGAGGGTTAATGTCATTGCCCAGAAGATCATTGGTTGCCCTCACCCCTCTTTGGAAGAGCTTTATAGCTCCCGCTGCCTTAAGAAAGTTCAAAACATTCTCAAAGATCCATCTCATCCTGGGAACCCTTTTTTTTTAACTGTTACCCTCTGGCAGACAGTACAGAATAATAAAAACAAGGACAAATGGGCTGAAAAACAGCTTCTATCCCAGGGCAGTAGCTCTTTTGAATTCTGATGTATAGTGCAGTGTTGATGCCATGTCGGGGGTTTTTGGTTCAATTTGTGGAGTGTGAAGGATGTGTGTTTGTGTTTATTTTCATGGTCATGATATAAACTGAAGATGGTGTTTGATTTTGTTGTATGAGGTGCAATGACAAACTAAACCAAACCAAACCAAACCAAACCAAACTAAACGTATTCCAGCTTTTCCAATTAAGACTCTGTCACTGTTGCAGTCATTGAGGAATCTGGTGGGGAAATAGCTCTGAAAAGATGACCCAAAAGAGCATGCATTACCTAATTATGACTATGAATGTGGATTTGAATTAGACAGGTAACAGTGCTCTGGATATTACAGGTATTTCTTCACAACAGTTGATTCAGTGACTGTTCAAAGTTACAACATCACTGAAAAAAGTGACTTATGACCATTTTTCACACTTATGACTGCTGCAGGATCCCCATGGTCACGTGATCAAAATTCAGACATTTGACAATTGGCTCAAATTTATGACAGTTGCTGTCCTAGGGCTATGGGATCATCTTTTGCAACCTTCTGATAAACAAAATCAGTGGGGAAGCCAGATTCACTTAACAACTGTGTAACTAACTTAAAAAACTGAAGTGATTCACTTAACAACTGTGGCAAGAAAAGTCGTAAAATGGGACAAAAGTCACTTAAATGTCTCACTTAACAATAGAAATTTCAGACTCAATTCTGGTCGTAAGTCAAGAACTACCTGTACTGCATCTCAGATTACCTTACTTGTATTATACTGTATATAGTTACCTATTTTTATTTGGAATTCTGTGCTATGTTCTTTTTTGCTCCTTGACAACAATAATAAAATAAGTTTCCAAATTTGGCCAAATTGGTTTAAAATTCTCCTTGCTATTTTTTTTTTTTAATTGGGGAAAAAATCCAAACTTTTGGCTGAAAATTTTTGAAAAGTTTACCTTATTACGGGATAGCTATCAACTTTACTTTTGCCAACTATTTATCTTCGATTCCTAATTAACATTATTGTGTTTTGTATGACTTTGGCTAACAGGAAAGGATAATTTATATTCTCTCTTGCAGCTTCATTTACTCCTTTTTTCCTTGTTTTCCTCCAAACCCCCCCCCCCCCCGATCCCCCCCTAGGGTTTTTTAATTATTAATTTGGATTCATTATGGGTATTTTAACAGATTAAATAGACTTTCTCTTTTGCTTTTCTTTTTTCTATCAGCTAGTTCATGTAATACTTTTTTTTACTACTATTACTAATACTTTATTCTTTGTTTTGGTTGAAGTATTCCTTTGGCTTTCCCATGTAGGGATGAGTGTCTTATTTTCCCTTGCTTAACATCGTATTCTTAGTGTTAAAGCAAGAGAGGGCCTTCATGTTTCTGTTTGATTCTTTTTTAGTGTGCCATTAATGACAGTGCAGATTTCAAAGCTGTTGCTGATGCGATGAAAGTGATTGGGTTTGGACCAGAAGAGATTCAAACAGTGTACAAAATCCTTGCTGCCATTCTGCATTTGGTAAGTGGATCTCTCTGCTGTTAGATTTATGGAAAGAAAGGTATGTTGAAAGGTTATATGAGGAACATCGGGAACAAGAGGGTAATAGTTACATTTTGCATCTATACCAGAGGTGGTATTCTGCAGGTTCTGACCAGTTCTGGAGAACCGGTAGCAGAAATTTTGAGTAGTTCGGAGAACCGGCAAATACCACCTCTGACTGGCCCCGCCCCCATCTAGTCTCTGCCTCCCGAGTCCCGGCTGATTGGCTGGGTCTTCCTTTGTTGCCCTGCACAGGAAAATGGAGCTGGAAAGCAGGTTAGTGTGGTGGGGAGGGAATGGGATTTTGCAGTAACCTTCCCCCAGGAGTGGGGTGGAAATAGAGATTTTACAGTATCCTTCCCCTGCCGTGCCATGCCCACCAAGCCACACCGCACCCACCAAGCCATGCCCGCAGAGCCGATAATAAAAGTTTCTGAATCCCATCACTGATCTATACATGCACATTTATTTGGCTGAGAGACATTAATTCTATTTAAATATATTAAAGATCAAAGATATTCAGATTCCAGGTTTATTTCTAAAGATAGGCAAGCTGATAGAATGAATCAGGTTCCCATGGTTATAAAAAAATACAGGTATTCCTTGACTTACAATTGTTCAAGTTGTGGTTGAAGTTACGATGTGGCTGACAACTTACACTTACAACCATCCACACAGTCACATGATTACAATCTGGGCGCTTGGCAACCAACTCACATTTATAACAGTTGCAGTTTCTTGGAGCCACATGATCGCCATTTGCCGCCTTCCCAGCTGGTTTCCAACAAGCAAAGTCAATGAGGAAGCCAGCAGAGAATGTTACAAGTTGCAATCATGTGTTATCTCAATTAACAACCTCAATGTGGTCAAGTGATGCCTCACTTAACCACTACAACACTTAATCATGAGTTTTCTGGTCTAATTGTGATTGTAGGTAGATGATTACTTGTAGAAACTTCCAATGTTCTTTAGTGAATTTGTTCTTTTATTAATTTTAATAAGTAAGGTGTAATTTATTCTCAGCAAAACAATGTATCAGGAATTTGGTTCCCTAGCAAGAAATGTTTTAGTTTAGGGTGGATATGGAATATTTATTATCCTAGTTTGGGATGAATCAAAGAAATAGCCATAGTTTTCAAGCAGATATAATGCCTAACTTGTGCTTGATGCTGAAATTGTTGAAGAAATGAAAATGTTTCTTCCATATTTTTTCCAGGGCAACTTGAAATTTTCTGTGGATGGAGAAACACCAGTGATTGAAAATAGCAAGCTAGTATCTGTCATTGCGGATCTGCTCTCGACTAAAGCTGATATGGTAGAGAAGACCCTGCTTTTTCGAACTGTAGCTACTGGTCGTGATATCATTGATAAGCAACACACAGAGCAGGAAGCCACTTATGGCAAAAATGCATTTGCAAAGGTGAATATAGATTCCATCCTATCAGTATGAAGTCTGCCTTTTTAGTTTATGATATCTTCATTTTTAAGTGAAAGTTAATATGATTGATTCAAAAAGGTCAAAAGTTGCCATGTAAACAAATCCACACATAAATTATCACTTGCCATTCATGAACAATCTATGTAAGAAGGAAAAAGGTAACTTTCTCTCCAGTTATCAAAAATATTCTGCCTGTGATCAATAATTGCTTTATTTCTTGTGACCAGAAATCAAAGTATTGTTTGAAGTTTGTCTGAATTGCCAGTTATCTTTTTTTTTTTGGGGGGGGGGGGGATTGGAATTTTCTGGAGATTTATGAAGTCTTTGGAATTCCCTAAGTTTATGGATGATGTAAAAGTCATACTATGAGAAAGTGTGAAATAAGGTGTGAGAAGACAAGTATATTTTTTGTATGGGGGGAGATTGGAATGCACACACTTGTAGCTACTTTTCAGTGAAACACATTGTATATCATCAGTAAAGTTAAGACACTGATGGAGAAGGAATCTGGAACAGGCTGACCTTTTTAATGAACTAAATGTCCTGAAAATAACCCCATTTCAATTTTAATAATGTTACAACAAAAGAACAGCTTTATTTGCAGCTTATTTGTTTAACTCTCATAAGATTTTTACTGCTGCAGTAGTTTAGAACTGGACGGTTCCCAGTTTTCTTTTATAAGGCTACAGGGCCTAACACAAAATACAGGCTTACTAAATCTGAGTTTTAAACCAGCAAATAAAATTGATTGATGTCCTTTGGTTTATAGGCAATATATGAACGCCTTTTCTGCTGGATTGTGATGCATATCAATGATGGGATTGCAGTGAAAGATTACAACAGCACCGTTCATGGCAAAAACACAGTGATTGGAGTTCTTGATATCTATGGCTTTGAGATCTTTGACAATAACAGGTGAAATATCTTGAGACAGTCACGCATGTATTGGTTCACAGGAGGATTTAAGGCATTATTTACCGATTTTTCCTTTTATAGTTTTGAACAATTCTGCATTAACTACTGCAATGAGAAGTTGCAACAGCTCTTCATTCAACTTGTTTTGAGGCAAGAACAGGAAGAATACCAGCGAGAGGGGATTCCTTGGAAGCATGTGAGTAGATTTTACATGGTCTGCTCAGAAACACTCAATGGTTTCCCCAGCCCCAAATTAAGATTTAAAATGCAGAATCCTATGGGGGGGGGGGAATCCAATATGCTTATTTAAAATATCAAATCTAAAGGACACAATTACTAGGAAACCAATTAATAAAGCCTGCAAAAGTCGTAAAGGAAAAGACTGAAAATTGAAAGCCGACAAATTTTATCCAGTTAAGAAGGTAAAGAAAATGGCGATGGTTTCAAGAAAAACTATTTCTGTTATACCTGGATTTGAGGAAAGGGATAAAAATGTGGAACTTCAAGAAAGACTTTTTCAGCTATTATATAGGCTAAGTGAGACTATACAGAAATAATCTTTTAAATACTTTGATCCAAAGGCAAGGTTATAAAGATTATAATCAACACTCTGAGTTATGCCTGGAAGCAGACTGATAAGCAAGACAGTTGCAATATCAATGGTACAGTAGACTATGATCTTTGAGAATACCCTCTGCTCCTGCAGCTATGTATTCATGGATATATATATATTCATGAATACAGAATAGCAATGGTACTTAGAATTACCATTGGTACTTAGAGTTTCACAGTGCTTTACAGCCCTCTTGAAGCAGTTTATAGTGTTAGCATATTGCCCCCAATAATCTGGGTCCTCATTTTACTGACCTCAGAATGATGGAAGGCTGAGTCAACTTTGAGCCGGTCAGAACTGAACTGCTGAACTACTGCATTTTAACCACTGTGCCACTGTGGGTCAGAATATTTCTGTATTCATCTCCCTGTCCACCAACTAAATGGGATCAACTCTTTCCAGATCCCATCCCTATTGGATTATTATCTAATGGGGCCTTAAAAATGGGCATTTTTAATAGCTGCCTATTTCCTTTGAACTTCTTCCTGGCAGAGGTGCAATCAGCTTCATCTCTCTTAGGCTTTAGGAAAATTGTGAAGATTTATCTGTTCCAACTTGCACAGGAAGAAAGTGTATTATAATTGAAGGTGAGGTTCATGTGTGCCTATCATTTGTATTTTTTAATCTTTCTTGAGCTTTCATTGTATCTGGAATTGCATATATTTGGAAACGTTACATATTCAAATTGTTAGCAATGTAGAATCTTGAGAATGAACAGAATACAACCAAAATGAATGTTTTGTGCCAAGTATAAACTTTAATGGGTTTTCAAGGAATGTCCCATGTAGAGGTTATTACAGTAGTATAACAACAACAACAACAAAGAATAGGTAATCTGTTACAGGTTTGTGTACTCCAATAATGGTTATCATTAAATCATGGTTGAATAAGGTATATTCCTATATAATGTAGTTGCTTCTTCAAGGAGATTGCAAGTGCATCTAGCTTTGGTTAAACAGCAACATCTGGCTTATCCTTATTCTCATGCTGGTTCAAGATACCCACACTTAAACACAAGCTGGAAGAAATATATCTGCATACTGATGATATGTTCCCCTAAATCTCTGGGATATGTAGTACATTTCTCAACAGTTTTAGTACATAGAAAATGATATCCTTATATGACACCATGGTACAATACAGATGATAACAAGCCAAAATTCCCAGTATTGCCTTTGGAGACTGGCTTATCAGAAATTTTTGAATTACTATAAGATGGTGCTGTATACCCACCAGTCAGCTCAGGTTGGTCAATGCCACACTAAATAGAATCCCAAACCACAGAACCAGCAGTGGTTTATTCACTCTGTCTAGGTCTCCATTCTCCAATTCCCAAAATAACCAAGGCCTGAACTTTGTCAAAATAGATCTAGACAATCTATTTTGTTTAAATAATCTTTGCAATGCCAAACAACTATCTGATCTTGTGCCAAAAATGGAGATTGAAGACAAATTAATAAATATCTACCTCTTAGAATCTGAGCAGAAGGGGAAAATGTTACTTATTTCAGGCAGGACAAAAATATAACCACTGCTCATGTGTTTAATGAAACAGAGATTGGCAAAGCCCCCTATAATCAGCAACAACTAGCACAGGGAAGCCATATAGTTAATAATTTTTCCCAAGATTCTGAGACTGCGCTCTTAACTTTGGAAAAATAGAGGGTTTTCTATTGTTATTGGTATAAAGTACAAAAAGGAGGTAAAACCTGGAATATACATTCTCAATCACACAGAATACCATATCAATACTTTTTTATTCTTCAGATATCTCTAGATTTAGAAAGCAGTTTTAAAATGTTGCTGAATAGTTTGGCTTACATTTGTTTGAAATATTGTGTATGAATTTAGAATACATCTCACTGAGTTTTAAAGTAGGAACTGCATCTGAAGGAAATTTAAACTTATACCTCCTCATTTCCTTTTGTATTACTGATTCTAATAGCACAGTTTACTTTTTCCTCATGGAGTTCTCTTTAGTATTTCTGCTCAAATATTCTATAGATTGACTACTTCAACAACCAGATTATTGTTGATCTTGTGGAGCTGCAACATAAGGGAATCATAGCCAATTTGGATGATGCGTGCATGAATGTTGGAAAAGTCACAGATGAAATGTTCCTGGAGGCTCTTAATAAGAAGTTGGGCAAGCATGCTCACTTTTCCAGCAGAAAGGTATTTTTGTCTAATCTGGCATTAACTATAATATTGTCACTAGACTAACAAGCTATTTTTTTTTACTTAATTAGCACTGAAATATTTTAACTTTCTTAATTGAAACAGATCAGTTTACACAAAATAGACATTTAGCTTCATATTATACCACTGCTTCTAAACATATGCCAAGGAATTTTGAAAAGCATATTTTTCAGAGTTTATGACTAATTGATTTTTTTTCTTAAAGCATTTTATCCTCCTGAAAAGGATCAAAGAACTGTGTACAATTTAAACTGCATTCTCTAAAAACACGGTACAAAAACAAAAAACACCGTACAAGAACAAAAGATCATAAAAAACAAATCCACACAATATCCTCTTTATTATCAAGTTGACCAAGTCATATTATCAAGTTCAGCAAGTGCCATTTCATCAGAGTGGAAGACTGCTTCCTCTCATGGGCTCAGAGTGTAGAATATGGAAGAAAGCTCGTAACTAGCCTAATGCTGCCTCTTCCATCTTCCCCTCTTCATGGTGTCTTGTTCAGTACATATTTAATCCTATTGGGATTTTAAGAACTAGAACATACTTTTCAATCCATCCAAGCCATAAACTCGTAGGTATTAAGGCTGAGTTGAAAATACATGAATTTTTAGTGCATCCCATTCCATCCATATGTGGATCTGACTTCGATGGTTTGGGGCTCAAACTGAACTATGGTATTTGTTGGCTGATATTGTTATGGTGACACTAGTTGGGGGAAGGAACCAATTGGCATATACAGAATGTATAGCTAAAATTCACAGATCGAGAGATTAAAAAGAAATAATCTCAAGCTTATGGCTTGAAGTACTCCTCTGCTATAAATAATCTTTAAAGCTGTTTCCAAAGGGGAAAAAATTAATATCCAGCAGAGGGAGCCATAGACTTTTCAATGTTAAAGAGAAAAACAGAAACATGAAGCTGGCTAGACCGTGATGTCATTTATAACCAATAGAAGCCCAGTAATGTAATGTTTCTGAACGAGTAAGAGCAGAGAATATGGAGTATGTAGGTTTTTATTTCAGAAAGGTGAAGAGATTCTTTTTGAAACTGTAGTTGAACAATGTTTTTATTAGGAGCAAATAGAATGCAACAAAAGCAAATTATTAGAGCTGTTCAAAAGGCTACTTGTTATGCAAAACACTGGGAAAGAGGAGTGTTAAAGGAAAAAGCTAGCTTTGCTGAAGCCACAAAGTGTTCATTTGGTCACATCCATAAAATAGACTGTAAGATATAATTGCTAGTTTAAATAGATGCATCTGAATACTCTACAGATTTCAGGTTGCCCTTAGGGTTGTTAGGGCTGCCCAGGGATGGGATTCTACCCGTTCGGACTGGTTCAATAGAACCGGTTGATATGATTCTGTGCAGTTCAGAAAACCAGCAAATTGTGCCCCTGTCTGGCCCTGCCCCTCCCTGCCCGCCCCTCCCTGCCCAGTCAGTCCTTATCGCGCATGTGCAACATTGTGCAGCCCAACATTGCTGACTGCATTCTTCCCCACCCAGTCACTCCTTAAGGTGACTAATAATTTTATGTTCCTATAATCAGCTGTGCCGGGATTCCCCTCGCTTACTTACTGCTTCACCCAGGAGGCTTCCCTGAGGCCCAGGAAAGCCAAAAATGGAGGGGGGGTGCAGCTCCCCCCTGCCCCTCCATTTTTTGCCTTCCTGGGCCCCAGGGAAGCCTTCTGGGAGTAAAAGCACCTCCTCAGGAGGCTCCACAGAGGCCCAGGAGGCCCCAAAGCAGAGCGCAGGGGTTGCTGTGTGCCCCCCCATGCTCAGTTTTTTTTTTTTCCTTCTGAGGCCCAGGGAAACTTCCTGGGAGCAAAAACACCCCCCAGGAGGCTTCCCTGAGACCCAGAAGGCCCCAAAAATGGGGTGGCTGCAAAAAAAGCCACACCCACCCAGTCACATGGCCATTCCCACCTGGCCAAGCCCACAGAACCGGTTGTTACAAAATTTGAATCCCACCCCTGGGGCTGCCTCTAAGATTGTTAATAGAATAGTTAATCCATTTTTGAAAGTACATCAATTAGCAATTAATAGATTCTGTCTTCTAAGTAAACTGTAGAGATTAAGCACTTTTTCATTATTAACAAATTTAAAGTGGTGTCATTTTTACATTCAGAAATAGTAAAGTTCTTTGTGAATTGGTATAGCTTAGGGAGTACATAGCATAGTTACAGTTCTACTCATTGTTTACCTCTGGGGGGGGAAATATTAATATTATTATCATTATTATTGATATTGATATTTTGATGCATTTTTAAATGTTCAGTTGACTGAGTTTCATGTTTAATGAATAAAGTATATAATAATATAATAATAATAATGAAAGAAATGGAAGGTTTAATAATTGCTGCTCAAGATCAAGCACTACAAACTAATGCCATGAAAGCGAAGATACAAAAATCCACTGACAATCCAAGCAACAAAGTTGAAACTGTTTTACATTTGATATGTGAGTGCAGCAAAATCCCACAAACGGATTACAAAGCTAGACATGATCGAGTTGCTAAATTAATCCACTAGTCATTATGTAAAAAATACGACTTACCTGTATCCGAAAAGTCATTGGAACATAAAGTGGAAAAAGTTGTCGAAAATAAAAAGGTGAAGATCTTGTGGGACTTTCGAATACAGACAGATCGTCGTTTAGAATACAACACACCAGGTATCACAGTTGTCGAAAACTGAAGCGTACAATTTATTGATATCACTGTAGTGAGAGACGCCAGAGTTGAAGAAAAAAAAACTGGAAAAAATCATGAAATATTGCGACCTGTCCATCGAAACTATGCGATTATGGATGAAACATGTAACAGTGATACCCATTATCGTCAGGGTACTTTTTACCATGTCCAAGAATTTTATAAAATACATCAAGAAATTGCAGCTTCCTGCAACATCAGCAGAACTGCAAAAGACTGTGCTACTTGGAACATCATACATCTTAAGAAGATACTTGGTTGATACCTAGGATGCTGGCAGCAACCTGTATCAATCATTAGCGCCAGTCAGTTATATTTGTGATAAATTTTTAAATGTTCAATTGACTGAGTTTCATATATAATAATAATAATCTAAAACTTCATAACTTGGATCAAAAGACAAGAAAACTAATGACAATGCACATTTTCTGCATTCAAAAAGTGATATCAGGGCAGCAGAGGACTCTTACAGTTGAAACAAACTGTGGAAGAGGAAACACATGGCTTAAATGACTACATAAGAAAAGCAAAAAAGCCTCTGCTGAAAGAGGTGAACAAGGATAACTTCTTGAAAATGAGATTGAAAACGGAAGATAGAATTCTTTATTGGCCAAGTGTGAATTTGTCTTGGTGCAAATGCTCAGTGTACATAAAAAAAAAAAAGATACATTCATCAAGAATCATAAGGTACAACACTTAATAATAGTCATAGGGTACAATAAGCAATCAAATCATACTAGGAAACAGTCAATATAGAAAGCATCAAGTTTGAGCATCAAGTTTCTATCTGGAAAAAGAAGCCTATGCACAGTTAATATCTGAAGGACATTAAAGGAAAGGTAGATACCGTGTTTCTCACAAAATAAGGCCGGGCCTTATTTTTTTTTCACCCCCGAAAAAACAGCTAGGCCGTCTTTTCGGGGGTGACTTAATTTCCTCCCCCACCTAGAGCAGCCCATACACACGTACCTCTCCATGAGGCTGTTTCTATCGGCCGATGAAAGCTCCCTGAAGACAGAGTCCCCAGCTGCTTTGGGGCATGGCTGCCCGTGTCCCCTCGCCATTAGGCAGTGTCTTTCGGGCGATGGAAGCTCCCCAAGGGCAATCACCAGCCTCTTCAATTGGCTGGTAGAAGCGGCCTTGGGGTGAGCGCACACGTACACTCCCCTTGCCATGAGGCCGTTTCTACCGGCCGATCGAAGTGGCTGGTGACTGCCCTTGGGGAGCTTCCATTGCCCGAAAGACACTGCCTAATGGTGAGGGGACACGGGCAGCCATGCCTCGCCCTGAAGCAGCTGGGGACTCTGCCTTCTGGGAGCTTCTATCGGCTGATGTTCTATCGGTAGATCGGGGTATTCTAGCCTAGGCTACCTGCAGGGCACTCCTAAAGGCAAGTTTTCTCCCTACCCACCACCGCCCTTCCCCCCCATTTCTCTTCACCTTGTGCAGTTCTAACAAACGATATGAGAAATGGCGGGGAAACGCATGGTTTAAATAGGCCTAAATTTTGGGGGCGGGGCTTAATTTCACCTCATGCCTAGAAATCATGCTGGGCCTTCCTATTGGTGGAGGCTGTATTGTTGGAGAAACACGATACAAAGCTAACATGGAGACGGTTGAATTAGGGGTGCTGAAGAAATAAACTGAATGCTTCATTGTGGCTGTCTAAGAATAAGCCTTGCAGACCAATTCCATGACAGCAAAAATTCAATATGACAATAACAACAATAACAACAACAACAACAACAACAACAAATGCCGTTTATGCAACGAGAAAGATGAAACAGTGGATCACCTTATCTGTGGCTGCAGCAAAATCTCACAAACTGATTATCTACGACATCATGATCAAGTTGCCAAAATCATACATTGGAAGCTTTGCCAGAAGTTTGAGTTCAATGCAGCAAAAATTATTGGGAACACCAAATTGACAAAGTGAGCAGATCAAGATCTTGTGGGACTTTTGAATCCAAACAGACAAGATATGTGACCTACAACATGCCTGACATCACTATTGTCGAAAAGAAAAAAAGTCTGGTTCATTGATGTTACAATATCAGGTGATTTACGAATTGAAGAGAAACAGCTAGGAAAAAATAATAAAATATGGTTTGCAAATTGAACTTGAGCAACTATGGAGGAAGAATAATAGGAGAGAATAATAAGAGCAATAATAATAGGAGCTGTTGGAGCAATACCCAAAGGGTTGCCTAAACATGAAAATTTTGAACTTATTAGACCTGGATATCCTAATTGCAAAAAAACACCCTACTTGGAACTGCCTATATACTACTACCTTAACCTTACCTCGGTCAAGACTTGAACTGTTAAGTTTTTACCAGTCCCAGACTGCAAATTGAATTGAAAATTAACCATAATAATAATAAGCAGTGCTGTACTGGAATATCTGCAAGAAATATCATTTGCCTGCAAGCAAGAACTGGTAGAACCATAAAACAGAGAAAGTTATAGAAAATGAAGAAGCTAAATTGCACTGGGACTTAAGAATTCAAACAGACAAGCACCTGTCACATAACACCCCAGACTTAGCAATTGTCAATAAAAATAAATTAAAAAATCTGGATAGTGGACATGGCAGTATCTGGAGACAACAATAGGGGGAAAAAGAACTAGAAAAGATCATAAAATATAAATAACTACAAATATAAGCAAAGGTAATCCCAATACCCTGTTTCTCCAACAATATGGCCTCCCCCAATAGGAAGTCCCAGCATGTTTTATAGGCATGAAATGAAATTAAGCCCCTCCCCCCAAATTAAGGCCTATATTAAAACATGCAAAATGGCGGGGAATGGTGGGGGGGCTTGCCGTTAGGAAGTACTTTTGTTGCACACCCGGATATGGTGCTGCCTGCGTTGACCCCGATATGAAGTGCCCCACCAATGCCAAGGTCAACATCCAAGCCATCGCTGCCTGTCCGCCCAAAGATGCAAAGATTAATTCACCCCCAAAAAGACGGCCTAGCCATTTTTTCGGGGCTCAAAAAAAAATAAGACCCGGCCTTATTATATGAGAAACACGGTAGTAATAACAACTTGGCTGCAATCCCAAAGCAATTGGAGCACTTGAACACTGCTAGCATTGACAAATTCACCATCAGTCAATTGCAAAAGGCAGCTTTACTCAGAACAGTTTCCATCCTGTGAAGATATATGTAACACCATCAAACATTTACACCTCCTATCCCAGGTCCTTGGAAAGGACTTGATAGGTAGACAGAAATGTCAAATCCAGTCTGAACATCTAGCTGACTGTACAACAGACCAATAAATATAGTCAATTGAAAAAAGTGGCTTTACTTGGAACAGTTTATATCCTACAACAATATTTTAACATCATTAAAAAACATCATCTCCCTATCCCTGGTTCTTGAGAAGGATTTTGTGGATGGATAAAAATGTCAAATCTAGTCTAAACACCTATTTGATTGTGCGACAAACCATGATAATTAATTTCAATAGCACTTTTAAATTAATGAAACTGTGATTAAATTCTTCATGATAAGATCTAAATGTAAAACAATTTTTAACACGTATTTGCTAAGACTGTCTTCAAATTTAACACAATAGAACTAAGATATTAAGCTTCTTACAGAACAAAAAAGTCCAAGCAAATGTAAAATAAGGAGCTTAATGACAGTGGTAAGCTGTTTTGGTCCACTCCTATGAAACATGCATGAAACCAACCTTTTGAAAGATACTGTATATTTGATTAGTTTGGAGATCATAATTATCAATATCATACTGGACTGATCTTCAAACATACCTGAAATGTGAGATTTTCATTTCCATTTTTTCATGGATGCTTTATCTAAAACTGACAGACTTGTTAAGTAATTTCAAGCTATATATTATAAAATTAGATTCTTTCAAAAATCGTAGTAAAAAATAATCACAATTTTAAACACGATAGCAGACTAAGGTTGGTGAAAACAGACATGAAAGCGTCTTAAATTCTTTTTTGTGCTTGAGCTGGAGGAAACGGGAGGGAGGTACTGTTCATTCGTGCTACAATAAAGAATGGGTTACCATGTTATACAAAACTGATCAGCATAGAACTCAACTGCTCTCATTGTTAAAATTAAACTAAATGAAGGCAATATTATTCAAACTGGAGTATAGTTGAAGATGATTTAACAAGCATTATCACACAATTAAAATGTGTTGATTGATTATTTAATTAAACAGACATGCATAACATTATGCAGAAAATCATCTTCTGCATTAATACTTCTGCACTTAAAAGTATGTTCTGTTTTTAGTGAAAACTGCATGATTGTGATTTGGCAGCACAACTCATTTAGAATTACAGATCAAGCTTGTCTCCTTACTTTTCCAATAATTAGAATTGATGGTTTTAATCATTTCCATTTTTCATCCATCTGCATCTCAGTCTTTGAATTAAAGTGTGGCTTATATCTTTTTTTATTTTTATGGACATATAAATCCTACTTCCATGTATTTCACATTATTTTACTGTGCAGATTTGAATTTTTAAATGCACATTTCTTACCTCTACCACTGCCAGGTCAATTTTCAAACAGTGAAATAGAATGAAGAGTCAGATAGGGTCAATCAAACAGGTTATATTTCAATACCTTACTAAAAGCAATAAGGGAAATATTGAGAAGGCTATATCCATCATCACAGTTCTAGATTAATTGTCATACTTACTGATGTGTGCATATAAAATGTTTGATACTCTTTTGTATTTAGTTCACTGTTTTTTTTTAAACAAAAAAAGCCCTTTGTAAATGTCATGGTTTGTGAAAAAGGCCCTTAGTAAATATCATATTCATTTGTTTCCCATGTGTTTTATCACTAAGTTGTATCAAATCACTAAGAAAGATATTGTCTTGTCTTACAGACAGCTTGTGTAGCACCTGCATTAGGAAGGAACATTTAATGACTAGATGTAGCAATAATTAGATCAGATCTTCATTCAGATCTGTAACCGAAAACCTGCTGAAAGTTACCAGCAGCTGCATTTCAATAATTAGTTTTTAATCCATTTGTTTTTAAGCTTTGTGCTACGGATAAAAACCTGGAATTTGATAGAGACTTTCGGATTAAGCATTATGCTGGAGATGTTATGTAAGTTTGTTTCTCATACTTGTTGCCTGATTCCTATTAAAACAGTGTAATGCATAGTTGCATAATTATAGTTGCACTTTGTTTTTCCTTCTGTGCTTCCTTTTGCTTTTTTGCAATGTAAGAAAACATCTGAAATTATTTCACTATGGTATCCAAATGATTGGTGTAGAGTATATGCTATATTATACTATAAAAAATCTAGATATCTTATTGAGAACATGCGCTCCATTTTCTGCCTTATTGTTCCACACATGATTCTCCTCCTCCTCCTTTTCCCCAAAAGCATAAAATAGATTAAACCTGATTTCATTTTCAACACTGAAATAGATTGGGCTGAGAATGAGAGTAACTGATCTAAAACAGTTCCCAGGATTTAGGTCTCCTTAGTCATAGTAATATATCTTAATTACTATATATAATTCTAAAACAGTAATTTATGAGTTTTGAAAGCGTTGTTGAAAACTAGGGCATTAATTATTGAGAGAATATGTGATTTGAAAATCCAACCCAAATACTTCCCAGAATTTCCAGTTTAAGAATTTGAAAAAGCCTCTGCTGAGACTTAGGATACAATTCATAGAGTTGATAATGCTAAGAAACACAATCCAATACTTAATACTACATAAGATAGTTCTAGTAGTATAACCTTTATACTACGGAAATATAAATATGCCACTCTCCCACCTCCAATTTAAATGTATGCTATGAAGTTAGGGTAAATAAAAAGCAAGACGAAATATGGAAAAAGAAGAACAGAAATACAACTTTGCCATCCTCCAAAGTAGCATAAACAGTCATTTCAGCCAAAATAGCAGCTTTATGACGAACCACAATTTAAGGAATGCTTGATTTTTGTTTTTATTTATTTATTTATTGCTGCACACATGTTTTTCAATGATAATCAAGATTTCTTCCAAGATTTCTAACCATCCCTAAAACCTAATACCATTAACTGGGTAATTCTCCATCAAAATTCCTTCTGTATAGCACAAATTTAGTTTTGCATTTAAAAAAAAATGATTTTACAGATACAGATAATCAGAGTTGGAAGGGACCTTATAGGCCATCCAGTCCAACCCCCTGCCCAAGCGGGAGACCTTACACCATTTCTGAAAAATGGCAGTCCAATCTCTTCTTGAAAGTCTCAACTGACGGCGCTCCCACAACTTCCGAGGGCAAGCTGTTCCATTGGTTGATTGTTCTCACTGTCAGAAAGTTTCTCGTTGTTTCCAGGTTAAATCTCTTCTTGTTCAGTTTCCATCCATTGTTCCTTGTCTGGCCTTTGGGTGCTTTAGAAAATAGCTTGACCCCTTCCTCCCTGTGGCAGCCCCTCAAATATTGGAAGATTGCTATCATGTCTCCCCTGGTCCTTCTCTTTACTAGACTAGCCAAGCCCAGTTCCTGCAACCGTTCGTTGTATGTTTTAGCCTCCAGTCCCCTAATCATCCAGGTTGCTCTTCTCTGTACTTTTTCTAGAGTCTCAACATCTTTTTTATAATGTGGTGACCAAAACTGGATGCAGTACTCTAGGTGTGGTCTTACTAAGGCTTTATAGAGTGGTATTAGTACTTCCCTTGATCTTGACTGTATCCCTCTGTTAATGCAATTTAGGATTGCATTAGCTTTTTTGGCGGCAATTTTGTAATAATGCATTGTCAGTTTAATTGTGGCAAAGACTTTTTTGTGAAGTCATAGTGATTAATTAGAAAACTCTGATGGTACTAAAAAGACTGTTATAATGTGCTCCTTTTTTGGTGTTAGGCTGACAGCTTGGTTTTATATTTAGGTCTAATTCCATTGTATTTCCTGCATTATGCATTGTATTTGGAAAACATTAAGGCAGAGGCATAATTTTGACACTTACTCCCAGGATACACTATAGCTTGTTTGCATGTCATACATGATTAAGAGATATAAATATTTAAAATCAGTTTATGGCTTGTGAAATTCTCAAGCCATTTAATTATTGCAGAGGGAAATTGGATTACTTGAGATTGCAAAATGGCATTTCACTAAAAGTACCTCTTGGTCGTTCACTTTGGCCCAGTTGCATTATAAGTGTTTAAAACTTATTCTTTTTTTTCTCCAAATTTTTTATTGATTTTTAAAAAACAAACATAAACAAACAAAACATGAAAACATAAAACATCTTTTTTGAAAGCAGCTTGATCCCGGGTTACATCTCTTCATACAGACACAAATTCAAGTTCATGCTCATTTTTATATACCGTTCCATATCTTGTTACCATTCTACATTTTCTATATAGCTTCTCCCCTTTTTTAACTCTCTTAATTCTATTTTATTTATTTCATCTCAACTTAAATCATTATACTTATATCCTTTGTCTGTCCTGTTTCAGCTGTCTATTATCTTTTCTCATTAAAACAAAATTTCTCCTGTAATCACTGATTGGAGTATGACGCCTTTATATCTTTCCCCTAAATTTATAACACTTAATATAATACATAACTTTCATTCGGATTCTGCTTAGTACATTCTAAAGCTACACACTATATTTTAAGAAAAGATGAAATTATAAATGCATAATATAATTAAAACAACAATCCATACCAGTTCAACTCTATCATTAAAATTAATATTCATTTAAATCTTAAACATTTTACACATTACTTTTCAAATAGGTATCATGCTTCTATGGGAACACTTATAAATTTTGCGTAGTTCCCCCACATTTCACTTATATTTTAAAACAATGTAATTAAAATGTTCCCATTCCTTCCTAATTCAATTCTCTCATTTATTTCATTTCATTTATTTTGTTCAAAAAAAGTTTCACTAAATTACACTGAGTATTTTTTCCCATTCTTTAATCATATATTGTTCCAATTTTCTAACATTATTTCTAATACAAGTATAACAATACAATCTTATGTACCTTTGCAGAATCTCATTTTCAGTTATATTTTTACCCATTATCTCTGAATAAGTCCTGTTTCTTTACATCTTGCTCCAAATCTTTGTAGCTTCTCTTCTCTTCCCTTCCTTCCTCCCTTGTTTCTTCACTCTACCTTTTTTACCCCCTTGTCTCTCCACCTCCATTTCCCTCTTCTGTGTTCCCCTTTTCTGTTGCTTTCTGACATTATATCCACTTTTCACCTTATTTTTCCCTTTTTTGGTTGTTTTTTTAGGTCTTAAATTCTCCATTCTCTTTCCTCCCCTTTCCCCTTTCTTCCCCAGATAAAGTTACTTGTTCATTAAAGATGGCTTCTTCTTTGTCCCAATCTTCTTGTTGCGCAGTCTTTTTTTGTAGTTTCTCATAGGTACAGATCGCCATTTCTAAGAAATGAAAAATGGAGCCAAAAGTACCCTTCCCTTCTTGTTCCTCTTCTTTATATTTTTTAAATTCCATTTTCAGTTCATCCACAAGTGATGCCATTGTAAAAAAAAATTTAAACAACCACCCAATTGTTTTTAATCATTCAAATATAATTTCCAGAAGTCCCAGAGTCACCAAACAATCCAAATACACACAAGCTGTTTCATTTAAGACTTTCTTCTTTTTTCACTTTCTCTTCCTGGGGTTACTATTTAGTTACAAAGTTCCAGTTAAAATGTATCTTTTAGAAGTCTTATTACAATTTAACTTTAGATTCTTTTAAATTCCAAGCAGCCTCCTCCAGCCAAATCTTGCTCTTATTCTTTTCCTCTCCCTTCCCACTTACAGCAAAAAAAAAAGTTGTTTAAGTGTTCAGAAATCTTTATTGTCCCCTTGGCATTTAATCCAGTTTAATTACCTGTTGGTGCCAAAGCGGATTTTTCCAATTTCTCATTCGTCTGCTGTCAACGTAAGGAAGGAGAGTGAGAAAAAAAAACCTTTCCCTTTTCACTTTCATTCGCTGCTTCCGAATGGGAGCGATGTATCTTTTATAAGATTTAAATTCCAGGGTACCTCAGTTGTTGCTTCTTATCCTGGTCAGCCAAAACTTTCACTTCTTAACTTCCTCCTACACTTTCTTTTCCGGCTGAGTGCTTCTTTGAGGCGGCCATTTTTGACCGCCGCTCTACCGCCTTCAGGAAAGGGAGTTTAGCCAGCTGGGGAGGAAAGATGCGGCTTCCCTCGACCCTGCTGGGATCTCCCCCCTCTTCGCACACCTCTACGGGGTGGCTTAGCCCCGAAGCCAAGTGGCTCGGGATGCTCCAGCGGCGTGCCCAGGCAGAAACCGTGCACAATCGCGGATTCCTGCCTGCCGCTGAAGCCCTGCAAACCGGAACTCCAAGTGTTTAAAACTTCTAAAGATGACACTGAGGATGAAGAGAATGAGGAATATTTACTTCCTTTAAGTATTGGAACTCTGCACAGTGCTTCTTGAGGAGAGATCTTTAAAAGCTTTTTTCCCTTACCATTATGTTTTGAATATTATCCATTTTCATGAGACTTTAGATTTTTATTTTTTGTTGATTTCTATTTATGGGTTGTTTTTTTCTTATTTTCTGAGTCCAGGTACTAATTCTACCTAAGTAGTTACTTAGTAGTTCAGTGCAAACTAATTACCACTTTTTTATATTTATCAGTTATTCAGTCACAGGATTCATTGATAAAAATAAGGACACTTTATTTCAAGACTTCAAGCGTTTGATGTATAACAGGTAGGAATCAATTTAACTATCCATTTGGTTTTTTACCTAGAATAGGCCAAGTACGACTATATTGTTGCCTTTTTAAATTCTTTCTTGTATTTTGTAGTTCCAACCCTGTGCTGAAAAAGATGTGGCCAGAAGGCAAACTGAGTATAACAGAAGTGACCAAGCGGCCATTGACTGCTGCTACACTTTTTAAGAACTCAATGGTTGCCTTAGTGGACAACTTGGCATCCAAGGTAAGAAGTTCCTAATTCAGGAAAGGTGACCTTTGATGACTACCTGTTATTTCATTACTGTGGCTACTTGCCAAGTCACTCTTGCCTTGATTGTATCAGCAACAAAAAATTCAATAGGACATTTTGGGATTAGAATATTAAAGAGTTCATCTTCCTTCTAGCATTGAGAAAACTCCAAGATTACAGAGTGTGATCTGTTTATGAGAAGGGAGTAAGAGCTATGTTCCCAAAGCCCAGATCATGTAAGAACTCAAACCATGATACAAATATTTGGAATAGATAATAATAATGCTAGCTTAGACTATGTATTTTCTGCAAAAGAACACAAAGATCAAACAGGAACAAATCTGTCAATGTAAATTTCTTGATGCAGCATATTTAAAATTTCCCCATAGAATTTTTGCTTAGTGCCACATGTAGAATGATCTAATTGAAAAAAAACAAACATCTGTAGCTATAAACCATGGATGTCAAACTCGATTGTGTCACGTGACATGTTGTGATGTATCGTGACTTTTTTGCCTTTGCAGAGCTGGGATGGGCGTGGCCAGTTTGATATCCCTGCTATAAACAATTGCATTGTTATGAACTTGTAAATGCTGAGGAGAATAAAGATGTTCTTAACATTTGTCTAAATTGTAGCTAAGTCAGTGCATGATTTATTTGTGTGTGTGTGTGAGCATTCCTAAGAATAGGTACTGCAGCAAAAAGCTATTTATGGATGTGGCACAATCTTACTATGATCTCAGTAGTTTCCATGTAGGTACCATATTGTTCTCAGTGTTTTATCCAAGAGTTGATATTCTGAAGATTGGAAAATAACTTACCTGTTATAGTGGCAATCTCTAATGAAGATAATTTGAAGCAGCCCTTTCCTGTTTCCATAGTGTGGTTGGCAACTAAAGCAAACCCAAATATTATTTACCAATGGGAACTTGTGCTAAGACTTTGATTTTCCAGGTATGAGAAGGGGATAAATTAAATATAGTAAAATAAGTACACAAAAGGAATGACAATGAGCAAAGAACAAAAGCCTGAAATAAAAAACATTACTCAAGGCTTTACTAGAGGCTGAAACAGAACATGAAATAGAATTTTTTATTTTAAAGATTGTAGATTGGCACCTCTCAAAATGATTCTTTTTGAGTTTATTCCTTCTGTTTTTGGATACCTTAAGACATACGGTGGCTGAACTCATCAGTTAAATCCATTTTACTTATTTATTTAATAATGAATAATTTGGTTAACTTGCATCCTTTCTTCAGAAAAGTATATTCTTCCCTTTACTATATTTCAGTGACAGATTACTTCTCTTTCACTGATTTCATTTTTTTAAATATCCATATTTGCCTTATGAAGTATTGTAGCCTGTTTACTATTATGAGTATGGGAGGAGGAGATAAATAAGTTACAGTATAGTGTACAGCTTATCCACTTCCCTGTGTCTGTGCTTTTTTGAATAGTGTAATGTTTGATGATAAATATACAATACCATGACACCATGATTTGTAATAAATTTGACAGCTTTACATTTTTGTCAAGAAAAGAGACTCTTGTTCTAAAATAAGAACATAGTAAATCATCTTGTTCTATTGAATAAATCAAACCATGGTCCATCTAACAATACTGCCTACACTAAATGGCAGCAATTCTTCATGTTTCTGACTGATTTATCTCAGTGCTGTTTGGGATGCCTTTTAATGATAGAAAAAAGAGGATTAGAAATATTATTATAATAAATAAATGATTACAATATGTTTTAACAGTAAATTACACATATCTCTTTGGTATGGAAACAGGAATAAGTTTTCTTTAGTAAAGTCTGATTTTTTTTAGGAAATGTCTTATATCCTGGGGTTGAGAAAGAACAGGCTAGGCTAGGTTAGGGATTCAGCCATCTTTTCTATCAGAAATGGCTCTTAAGATCCAAAGGAGGCCCTTTTTTTGAAAATACAGCCTCTATCACAGGTGTATCTTTTTGACATTTAGAAGACAGCCTTCTTCAGTATTGTTCTATTCAACACAGTCCCTGGCACTTGCAGTTGCATTTAGAAAAATCTGTAAATATCTCTTTAACAGTCAGAAAAATTGTAAAAAGACGTAATTGTATTAAACTTTTAATTATTAATTGTATTAATAATTTAATTATTAATTGTATTGATTTCATTATTTTAATTTATTTATTTTATATTTCTATATTCTTTTTATTTTTAAATTTGAGCAGCAACTTTGGGAATTAACCTAAACAAAAAGGCTTAACCTATGAATATGCATAATTTTAAAAAAACAGAGCAGGCTTTCCTTATATAAAAAAAGACAGAAATGTTTGAGGAAATGATTTCAGAAATGAGTATAAACTAGCTTCTTTTTATTTTACCTCAGTTCTTTACTTCAATGTCAGTTGGGAATTTTGCAGGTAGGAGAATTTCTCTACCATCTTTCAACTCTGTTTCCAGCAAAGATCTGTGCTCTCAGTGTAGATACTTAACAGATTTTTTAAAGAGCGAGATAATAACTAGCAAGCTGACATAATTCTCTTTTATTAGGCAGGATGGTTAAAATCTAGAACAGTTGTGGCAAAGGAAAAAATACATGGGTCAAATTTTTTCTTCATCTTCCCTCTCTTCTGTTTTCTTACTGTTATATTATCTCATGGCTGACACTCCTGCTATTACATAGGATGCTCAGTACTTGTCTTTATTTCTAAGAGTTGCACGGCAGGCAAAATTCTGCCAGCTATAGTTTTTATAATTGCAGGCTGGCAATCTTAAGATGACAGTGAATGTTTATGGAGATTCTCAGTTATCCAGCACATGGTTGTCCCAAAGGTGCTTTTTCAAGAGGCAACTGGACTTCAGAGCTGAAGAAGCTTCTTGGATGAGAAGTGAAACATCTTCAAAGAAAAAACAAAAACAAAAGTCCAGTTGCCTCTTGAAAAAGTGCCTTTGGGATGACAGTGAAAGGTAAGAAGTTGTAACAATTGATTAGGATATTAAATTTCATATTGTCTAAGCTAGAAAACCAATTATTTTTTTGCTGGATGCCTGTCTTAGAACTTCTTCTTGTTGAATCTTTTTACTCTTAATGAGTACTGTTATTGGCTGTTTTCTAGTTAGTGTGGAAATGGATTATAAAAATGTGTAGTCAAGAATGAAGACATATAGAATAGAGCTACAATACGAGATCTATTATTTGCATTCTGGAAATTCATTTAATGATGCTCATTGTAACTTACATGATAGATCTTATTGCAGGTGTTTCTAGGAAAAATATAGTCTTGTTTTTCTAATGGAATTTTATAGGAGAAGGTAATTAGGGGGTCACTTTCCACATGGTCACTTTCTACTACTCTTTTATTTTATCTGTTAATTCAAATACTGTTGTTTCTGGTTGCTTTCTTTTAGGAGCCATACTATGTCCGTTGCATTAAACCCAATGACAAGAAGTCACCGCAGCTGTTTGATGAAGAAAGATGCAAGCATCAAGTTGAGTATCTTGGACTTCTGGAAAATGTAAGAGTACGACGGGCAGGATATGCCTATCGCCAAACATATGAAAAATTTCTTCACAGGTAACAATTGATGAAAACTTTGCAAATTTCTTATATTTAACTGTAAAAATATGTTTGTGGTTTGATATTACATAAGCATTCTTACACAAATCACAGTTATGTCTTAAGTAACTTAAGAAAAATATTATCAAGATTAGTGAGACCAGCTAAAGAAAAACCAATTTTATATCCTTTTTTGGTATTCTATATAAATGCACGTGTTTTTTATGGAAGAGCAGGAGTTTCATGGGATATCTAAAGAATTTTACATAAACCTTTTATTAAAATGCTTAATACATTACATCCAAATAAAACAGTTTTTATAAATCCTTTTTCTTGCTCCAGGCTCAATTCACTATATCAAGTAAAGCAAGACCTCTCATATTTATTTAGAATTATTTGGCAAAAGCTAGAACATGCTAAAATTACAATTTGTAAACATAATTAAATTATTCCGCCAAATCCATTTGAATGTTAGATTAATTTAATATCATTAATTCCTTTTAGCTTTGTTAGATATCCAGTCTACTAGAAGGTATTATATATATTTACCAATAAGCTGAAAATTTTAGTTGCTAAAATGCTCTGAAAAAACAAGGGTTATCTTATCTGCAGATGGGCTTATATGCAAACTCAACAATTTAGTTTGCATATCATTTATTCTGCGACTTAAACAATTGTAGCTTGTTCAGTAAACTACTGAATAACAAACAAAGGATTAGTGATATTTCACAGTTATTGCAAATTAGCATTTTGTAATACATGCTTAAGGTTTCTATAATATATAATTCTATATCAAGACTGTATATTTATTTTCTTCCTATTCTTTCTATGGGAAATCTGCTTTGGCAAGATAATATGGGTTGTTGTGGATCTTTCTGCCCTATTACTGACCATCATATTTAATATTGGCACACAATGTTTTTTTAAAATAATTCTTGCATCAATGCAGGTACAAAATAATTCCTGAATTTACTTGGCCAAATCACAAACTACCATCTGACAAAGAGGCTGTGAAGAAATTGATTGAGCACTGTGGGTTTCAAGATGATGTGGCATATGGAAAGACAAAGATTTTTATTCGCACACCACGAACACTCTTCACGTTGGAAGAAATGCATGCCAAGATGCTTGAATGGGTGGTTCTCTTTCTACAAAAGGTGAGAAGCAATATTGAAATTTCTTATAAAGTAATCTACATCTGATATCCACAGATTCACAGAATGGAAAAACACAACTTGTAAAATAAGTTGCTTTTAATCATGTGCTAGTCCTGGTGACTTACATGTACACATGCATATAGTTTTCTTGGCAGTGATAAGGGAGTGGTTTGCATTGCCTTCTTATAGAAAGTTGTTGGTTTTTCCCCCCTTTCAGATCTAGCATATTTCCAATGTTCCTTTAACTCTAAGGAGTTAAAAATAGATGAAAACCAAACTGGATTTGAAAGACCTGTCCAGTCTTGTTCTCTTCACATGTTGGCCATCCAGAGGTCTGTAGGAATCTTACAAACTGAATAATAGCACTTTCCTTCTCATATTTCCCAAGAAATAACCCCAGAGAAACAACGCTTTGCTCACAAGAGGGTTTGCCACTTAAATAATATGCATTAGTGTCTCCTCCTCCATTAATTGGTATCATTGATATTTAAAGCCATTCAGGTGATAGTAATTGATACATCCTGGTGAAGATAGTTAAGCATATGTTGCATTAAAAAGTCTGTCCAATCAGGAACTTTGGATGATCTCTATTCAAATATTATTGAAAAGACAAAAAAAACCCAACAATTCCATCCCTTTGCTTCATATAATGTGTAATAGCTTATTTTTGTGGCATGTTCTCTTTTATGCAATCTTTTTTTCCATGCTAAAAAGTCCCTAATGTTCCTACAACTCCTGGATAATTTTTTCTTGCCAGTCACACACTTCTGCATCAGCTGCTGCTGTGAATCCCCCAACAGTAGTTTTAGCAATTGCTTATTATTGTCAAAGAGCTAGTATTTGTTAAAAAAAACTTTGTAGAGCTTACAAAGCTCTCTGAGCTTGGTTGTTTACTCTCTGAGCTTGGTTGTTTACTTTCAGAGGTTTTATTATCCAACTAGGTAACATCATTAGTGCAGTGTGTGTTTGTGTGTGTGTGTGTGTACACATATGTTGTTTTCATAATTTGATGGTTATATGAGAAAATGAGTAAGACATATTTGAACAAGATGAAAATCCATGGTTAGGAATAGGGGCTAGAATTCTTAATAACACAGGTTCTAATTTGAAGCATCGTGTTATTAACTGATGCTTCAAATTAGAGCCTATGTGATTAAAATTTCCAGAAATGAGAGCTATTTTCATTAGATGACCACCAGAAATAATTGCTGATAAATATTCATTCTTTGTTTTTTAAACACACATACAAACACAGAGTTGTAATATGTTACTCATTAAATAATGCCATTATTTAATTTTATAGAATTAGCTTTAAGACTTTAGACTACTTTTGGCTTGTTCATTTTATTCTTATTGGTACCTTTACTATGAAAAAAGATGGTATCACTGATTAAAAGCTTGTTATAGAAACTAGGCAAAAATAGTTTGAGTGAAGATGAAATAATTTTTTTTCAGTATCACATTTTTTGAATGTCTTTGAATGCACTTTGTTAATTATCTTTTAACAAATCTTTAACTTTAATCTTTAAATTAAAATACTATTTGAATCTTGTATCTTTTTCTTAATTTGCACAAAAATGAACACTTTTGACTCCCTTGATAGTCAAACTGTCAGTGTGAAAGCTTCTCTTTTATACTTGCAATAGTTGTAGGGAACATTGGCAACCTTGCTTTTTTTAAAAAAAAATCTTTACCTTTACATATCATACACCACTCAAAGCTATTTATAATATTTGTTCATAACTGAACTATGATTTTAGTACACCACAAAACATTCCCTGAATTCTTTATGCATTATTTAAAGGTGTTCGCTACATTTCTATATCAGCTTTTGAGATAAGTATCAATAACAGTACATAAAATTTTATTTATTTATTTGTTGAATTTATATTGTCGCCTATTCGCCCATGGCAACTCGAGGCGGCTTACACAATATAAAACCATATTTAAAATAAAAAACAATAAAAACTAACAAAAAGAATCAAATAAATTAATAAAGTACAAACAAAATCTGGGGAAAAAAATCACCCCCAACTCCCACCCCACACCCCGATGATAGCAGATCACATGAGCCATTTAATGGGCTCCATCCCGTTCTGGGTTCCCCAGGCCCACTGGCAGAACCAGGTCTTCAGTGCCTTCTGGAAGGGTATTAGAGAGGGAGCCATTCTACTCTCTAGGGGAATGATGTTCCAGAGAGAGGGAGAAGGCCCTTCTTCTGGGTCCCACCAGGTATACCTCCCTCAGAGATGGAACCCACACCCCACTCTAATAGGTCAGGTAGATGTGACCAGCAGGAGACGTTCCCTCAGATAACCTGGTCCCAAGCCATGAAGGGCTTTAAAGGTGACAATCAGCACCATGAATAGCACCTGGAAGCAAATCGTCAACCAATGCAGCTCCTGCAGGAGAGGTGAAACATGTGCATACTGTGATCTGCACAAAACCATGCGGGCCACTGCATTTTGCACCAATTGGAGCTTCCAGATGTTCTTCAAGGGCAGCCCCATGTAGAACGCATTGCAATAATCAAGACGGGAAGTGACTAGGGCATGAATGACTGTAAATAGGGATTGTTGGTCCAGGAAAGGGCGTAACTGGTGCACAACCTGCAGTTGTGCAAAGGCCCTCCTGGCCATGACTGCCATCTGCTCTTTGAGCAGGAGTTGTGAGTCCAGGAAAACCTCTAGATTACACCCTGGGTCTGTGTGGGGTAGTGCCACCCCATCCAAGACCAAAGGTGGCAATTCTCTCTGAGCCAACAAACCCCAAACCCAAAGCCACTCGGTCTTGCAAAGGTTTAGTTTCAACCCGTTGCTCCCCATCCAGCCCCTAACAGCCTCCAGGCACTGTGAGAGGAAGGACACAGCAACACTTAACTCACCACGGGCCAAGACATACAGTTGAGTATCATCAGCATATTGGTGATACCTCAGTCCATGGTGATAGATGATCTCACCCAGTGGCTTCATATAAATGTTGGGCAGGAGTGGAGAAAGTACTGATCCCTGCGGAACCCTGTAAAGCAGTGGGCAAGGGTTGGATCTCTCCCCTCTTATCAACACTGCCTGAGAGCGGCCGCAGAGGAAGGAAGTGAACCAAGACAGCACAAGGCCTCCCACTCCTATCCCCCAAAGCCGTTCCAGGAGAATCCCATGGTCAATGGTATCAAAAGCCGCTGAGAAGTCAAGTAGAGCAAGGATGGATGCACTACCCCCATCCCGCTCCCGCCAGAGATCATCTAAAAGTGCAACCAATGCTGTTTCTGTCCCAAATCCAGGCCTGAATCCTGACTGGTAGGGGTCGAGATAATCTGTTTCATCCAGAAACCTCTAGAGCTGCTGCACAACCACCTTCTCAATAACCCTAACCCTAACCTTCCCCCAAAATACTGCAAATACCAAAATAATTATTAAAGGTAAACCTAATGCAAAATGAGAAACTAATGCAAAATAAATCAGTCCTAACAACAACAACAAAGTCAGTGAAGAAAGAAGCTTAATATTCTGTTAGGAAGGATATTGGAAAGCCTATATTTTTAGCTAAAATTTGGACAGATTCCTAAACAAGAAGATGGATTACACCTTTTAGCTCTACCTGGAAACTACTGATAGATAGTACAGTTATTGAACTTGTATGACTTTAATAACCAATCAGGTCAGAAATTTGATTATAGTCCACTAACATTTTTCAAAGACAAACCCATGTGAGTGTCACAAGGGCATAGTTTAAGGGTCTAGGACAACTCATCACATCTAACTTGCCATGATCAACTCACCATGATCAACTTGCCACAGTCAACTCGCCACTGCGGGACAACTCAATATAGGTTTAATTTCTTTTATTATTCAACACAGTACTACAGAAGCTGGTAGTCATAGGAATGATTTTCTTTGATGCAATAGATAAAATAATGTGGTAACTAAAACTAAGTGACTCCTGCAGCAAGTTGTCCTGCAGCAAGTTGGCCACGGTGATGTCAAGCTAAGTGACTCCTGCAGCAAGTTGTCCTGCAGCAAGTTGGCCACGGTGATGTCAAGCTCTGGGGAAATCAGGAAATCAAGTTCAACTGAGTATAAAGATTTATTGTAAACTTAAGCTCTCTACAAGAATCTGAGTTACTAACCGTCAAAGCAAACTGGTAGTAGATAAGAGTCAAAGGAATTCAAGATGGACTGGATTTAGATATAATTATGGGCATGAAGGGGACTCAATGACGGATGATGTGTTTGAACCCGCTTTCAGGCTTAGCCTAGTCATCTCCTACAGGTGAGTTGGCCATGGCAAATTGGTTGTGGCAAGCCTGCCATGCTAATTGGCAGGGGTGAGTTCTCCCATGCTATGGTTTTCCGTGGCAGATACAGCAATTTAAGTGAGGGGCATAGTTGCTCTATCAGCCTCTGAGATTTGAAAGCACATGGGCTGTTTGCAATTCTTTTAGTAATAGTTCATTAAATAATTAGTGGGAGGGAAGTAAGAACCATACTCACGTGGCGTTTTTCCAACTGCTTCATATTTTATCAGTTACATAGTCTGGTTTATATAAGGCAGTTTAGTAGAACAACTATAAAAATAAAACCAAGTTGATTTTGGAAATTGTAAACATTCGTTTATGTTAGAACAAATAGGACTGCATGGCTATATTTAAGTCATACTTCTAATGTCTATTTCCCACACATCCTTGAGCTCACAATTTTTGTAAAGCAAACTGAGATAAGTTAGGAAGCTTCCAGCTTAACTTCTCAGATACCCTTTTGTTCAGTTTCCCGAGCCACTTTCTCTGCTTGGAAAGGTATGTGCTTGATTCCATCAAGGTACCTTCGTGGAGAAAAAACATGTCATCTTAAGTTTCCTGGTTCACATAGAGTAGTATCCCTTCCCAAATGTAAATGTGTCTGCCATCCTTCCCAGACTTGTGAGTAATGCTGCTCTGCCTCGCCCCCTCACCTTGAGGCATTCTAGTTTCCCCAGACGCTCCTCTTAGTAGACTTGTCAATCAA